TGGCACCTTAGAGACTAACCAATTTATTTGAGCATGAGCTTTCGTGAGCTACAGCTCACTTCATCGGATGCATACCGTGGAAACTGCAGAAGACATTATATACACACAGAGACCATGAAACAATACCCCCTCCCACCCCACTGTCCTGCTGGTAATAGCTTATCTAAAGTGATCATCAAGTTAGGCCATTTCCAGCACAAATCCAGGTTTTCTCACCCTCCGCCCCACACACACACAAACTCACTCTCCTGCTGGTAATAGCCCATCCAAAGTGACAACTCTCTTCACAATGTGTATGATAATCAACGTGGGCCATTTCCTGCACAAAACCAGGTTTTCTATTACCAGCAGGAGAGTGAGTTTGTGTGTGTATGGGGGTGGGGGGGGGGTGAGAAAACCTGGATTTGTGCTGGAAATGGCCCACCTTGATTATCATGCACATTGTAGGGAGAGTGGTCACTTTGGATAAGCTATTACCAGCAGGAGAGTGAGTTTGTGTGTGTGGTTTTTGGAGGGGGGTGAGGGGGTGAGAGAACCTGGATTTGTGCAGGAAATGGCCCACCTTGATTATCATACACATTGTGAAGAGAGTGGTCACTTTGGATGGGCTATTACCAGCAGGAGAGTGAGTTTGTGTGTGTGTGGGGGGGGGCGGAGGGTGAGAAAACCTGGATTTGTGCTGGAAATGGCCTAACTTGATGATCACTTTAGATAAGCTATTACCAGCAGGACAGTGGGGTGGGAGGGGGTATTGTTTCATGGTCTCTGTGTGTATATAATGTCTTCTGCAGTTTCCACGGTATGCATCCGATGAAGTGAGCTGTAGCTCACGAAAGCTCATGCTCAAATAAATTGGTTAGTCTCTAAGGTGCCACAAGTACTCCTTTTCTTTTTGCGAATACAGACTAACACGGCTGTTACTCTGAAACCTGTAACTTGTATCTAATTCGGATACAGAAATAGTAGGCACCAGTCTCATGCCCTTCTAATGGACCTAAATCACGTTCTGTTAATCCCCTGCAGTTTGTGTGGAGCCAGGGAATGCCAATACCAGCCATTAAGGAGCTAGTTAATACATTATCTAGACTTTTCCTCCTTATGTGTTAGTAGCTGTTCAGAAGAATCAACATCTCCATAATGACAAAGGACTTTTCTGCCACTGAGCTGAGAAATTCAGCACCACAGTTGGCTTTCCTTCCACTATCACTTAGTGACAGGTTTCAGAGTAGCAGCCGTGTTAGTCTGTATCCGCAAAAAGAACAGGAGTACTTGTGGCACCTTAGAGACTAACAAATTTATTAGAGCATAAGCTTTCGTGGGCTACAGCCCACTTCATCGGATGCATAGAGTGGAACATATAGTAAGAAGTTATATATATATACACACATACAGAGAAGGGGGAAGTTACCATACAAACTGTAAGAGGCTAATTAATTAAGATGAGCTGTTATCAGCAGGAGAAAAAAACTTTTGTAGTGATAATCAAGATGGCTCATTTAGACAGTTGACAAGAAGGTGAGAGGATACTTAACATAGGGAGATAGGTTCGGTATGTGTAATGACCCAGCCACTCCCAGTCTCTATTCAAACCCAAGTTAATGGTATCTAGTTTGCATATTAATTCAAGCTCAGCAGTTTCTCCTTGGAATCTGTTTTTGAAGCTTTTCTGTTGCAAAATTGCCACCCTTAAATCTTTTCCTGAGTGGCCAGAGTGGTTGAAGTGTTCTCCTACCGGTTTTTGAATGTTCTGATTCCTGATGTTGTGTCCATTTATTTGTTTGCATAGAGACTGTCCGGTTTGGCCAATGTACATGGCAGAGGGGCATTGCTGGCACAGGATGGCATAGATCACATTGGTAAATGTGCAGGTGAATGAGCCCCTGATGGCGTGGCTCATGTGGTTAGGTCCTATGATGGTGTCACTTGAATAAATATGTGGACAGAGTTGGCATCAGGCTTTGTTGCAAGGATAGGTTCCTGGGTTAGTGTTTTTGTTGTGATTGCTGGAGAGTATTTGCTTCAGGTTGGGGGGCTGTCTGTAAGCGAAGACTGGTCTGTCTCCCAAGATCTGTGAGAGTGAGGGATCATTTTTCAGGATAGGTTGTAAATCTTTGATGATGCGCTGGAGAGGTTTTAGTTGGGGGCTGAAGGTGATAGCTAGTGGCGTTCTGTTATTTTCTTTGTTGGGTCTGTCCTGTAGAAGATGACTTCTGGGTACTCTTCTGGCTCTGTCAATCTGTTTTTTCACTTCAGCAGGTGGGTACTGTAGTTTTAAGAACGCTTGATAGAGATCTTGTAGCTGTTTGTCTCTGTCTGAGGGATTGGAGCAAATGCGGTTCTATCTTAGAGCTTGGCTGGAGACAGTGGATCGTGTGGTGTGTCCTGGATGGAAGCTGGAGGCATGTAGGTACTTAGTGGCTACTAATGGGTAATGAGGAAAAAGCTAGAAACTTTTTTAATCAGTGTCACTAGCAGTCTTGTGAATCACACCTGAAACAGGGGGGTGGGGGATCAGTTTAGAGGAGAGAGAGTGCTACAGGGATCTGAGTTTGGGTCTGCAGCCCCTTGGCCAGAAGCACTGTAAAGGCCTGAGTGTTCATGCCCTGGGTGAAGTGTTGCTCCCAGATATCCTCTCTAGCCAATGCAAAACTTGGTGATACTAGGATACCGGGGAGCCATGTTCTGCTCTCTCACGGGAGGGCAGGGTCACTGCTACAAGAATAAAGTAGTAAGACGTGACCTGAATGCACTCAATGCATCCTCTGTGGTAACCATGCTCTGAGAGCCACTAGCCTCTGTCTGCCAGGAGCTGGGAATGGGCGACAGGGGATGGGTCACTTGTTGATTGCCTGTTCTGTTCATTCCCTCTGGGGCACCTGGCATTGGCCACTGTCGGGAGACAGGAGACTGGGCTAGATGGACCCTTGGTCTGATCCACTGTGGCCGTGCTTATGTAACTTCCCACAGTAAAATAACTCACCAGTTGCACAGGGCATGAGCTCAACATTCCAAGGGTCAGGAGTTGCAATCTACCGTTGCTGTCCTAGATGTGGACCTAAAAAATCCTGTGGATTCAGTACGGACACAGCCTGTAGCTATCGAAGAAATAGCAGAATATAAGGAGTGGTGGGTGATCAGTACCAGTCCTACTGGCTTGCATTGGAAGAGAGCTGATTCTCTAGTTCAGCTGGCAAAGCATTTGTCTGAAATGTCACAGTGAGTCAGGCTGATCCTGAGTCCCACTCCCCCAGGCGGTGGGCTGAGTTCAGAGGAGTAATGGTGCTGTAAATTACACATTCTGCATTGGAGACTCTGTAAACTGATGGGGTCTTACATGCCTGGGAAATGGAAGGGGGCCGGGTGGTAGAAAGAAAAGCAACCACTAGGAGGCTGTATACCTAGCTTTGTCACCTGTGAGTTGGGCCCAAAGCTTCTAATTAGCATGGTTAGATCGGGGGCTATCTTCGTTGCTGTGTGTGTGGAGAAATAGGTGCACAGGGAATAACCTTACAAACTCACATTAATAAAGCAGGAAAGTCACTGCAGTCAGCACTTCACTCCTGAGACTCATAAATAAACCAACAGCTGCTGTTTCTTTCTCTGTTTTTGAAAGCAGATCTAGAAGACTGGTAAGCACACTTTCTAACACCTGTTAAAATCTGGATTTTCCCAGCTAGTTTACTAAAGGGAAAGGAGTGAATCCCATTCCAAATCTCTGTATTTCCCTTGAGGCTTTCCTTTCTCTGATAGATGCTAAAGAAAACAAGCAGGGCTCCAGTACAGAATGGGGTAGCAGGAACTCCTGTTGTGCTTAATTCCTGTCTAGCTCCAATACTGGGATTTAGCCTAGAAACCTAAGCCCCTGAATTCTAGCCACCGCACTGCCATTGCAACAAGTGAATATACAGGAGGTCTAAGTTGGAGGGCAGGCTGGAGTTCTAAAGTCCCAATTCACAAACAGCAGAGGCATTTCATTTATGTTTAAGAACCAGAAGCGCTGATGTAACCAGAAGTGATCCTATCTCACGTTCACACAGCATTTCCAGCCCAGAGGATCCCAAAGCACTTCACACACTCTGCATGTGCAGGCATCGCTGCCCTGCTGAAATGCAACCACCTAAGGCTGGAGAGTGGCAACCACCAGCATCAGGCACACTGCACGAATGCAGAAGAGGGAAATTATGAGCTATGGATCGTGGAGCAAACTAGGACTCTTAGGGCAGGGGTCAAGAAATCAGTACCGTTCATGCAGTACAGACAGGATCTCAGGGTTTAATGCGTCAGCTGAAAGACTCGCACACAGTGAACTTGACTGTATCTCAGTCTGACTCAGGAGTATTCAGGGCTGATCACGAAGGGGCCAGATCTTCATGTGCTCAGGGTCCACAACATATTTTCCAAAGTGCTCAGCACATAACCACTCCCTTCGTGACACACTGCCAGATTTTCAAAAGAGTGGGGAACCTGTGGCCTTATTCCCCATGCTCCACTGAACTGCAGCCTGAAGTCTGTGTAATGACTCTGGCGGTGGAAGGTGATGCAACTACTCTCAAATTCACACACGGAGAAACAAACCCCAGTGAAAAGCCCCACTTTAAAGAAGCCCAGTCTTAAATTAAACCTATAGCCCCAAGGTGACTCAGAACCCAAAGGTATATATCGCAGTAACACAGCACAGTCTGGGTTCTGTGCCGGAAAGGTTTAAATGTTTCTTTATTTCTTAACTCCACAAGTATCAGGAAAAGGGATGACTTTGAGAAGAGGTGGCGGAAAGTAGGAGCCAAAGTAACATTTGTTCATGGCTCCCAAGTTCTATGGGGAAGTCTCTAGAGCAGCTGGCCATGAACTCTACAGTGGTGCCTGGGAAAGGATGCTAGTATACACATTTTGAGGATATTTCATGTGATTTTCTACCATTTAGTCAGCACTGGGTAATAGTGCTTTGGGGAACAGCAAACCAACCTAGATTTTCCAGCTAAGCTCTCTCCTTTTGTCCACAGCTGGACCCAGAAGCAAGTGACAATCTCAAAGAGCTTCAGGTGAAACTGAACAATGTTTTGGATGAACTCAGTGTTGTGTTTGGTAACAGGTGAGTACATCTAGCTTCTATAACCATAGAAACATTCCTTTCCTTCCACTCCAGCTGCATCTCTCGTGAGACTGAGATGAAAGTAAAACACATGGCAATTGCACACTGTGTTTCTGTTTTAAATCAAATTCATGGCCCTGAATTTGCTTAATTCTTCATGTGCTCAATTCTCCATCTGAAGAATTGAGAAACTTTCAGAAAATTGTATCTGTTGTGTTCATTGCTCTGCCTGGGAACAGAACATCAGAATCTGAATTGTGAAATGTATTTGGATTACATATATTGCTGATCCTGCTGCTAACAGCACTTGTGTCTCTGGGAGAATTGAGCCCTGCTCTTCTTTGCTCTGAAAGCAGTTTCCAGTTCAACATTCAGAGAGTGATATTCCTGTTTAAATGCAAACAGTCTGTTAAAGCATGTAACAGCTGAATGCTTTCTGATTGTTAAATGAGGATTGAAATTGGAAGGAAACTGGCTTAGCGTTTGTGTTTCACACTGAGACCCAGTACTCTAATGTTGCAAAGGTGGGCATTTTTTATAGGCTGGTCAGTCATTGTCGGGACAAGCACCAAAAGTGTTGCTAGTGGCAATTAAAAGCTTTATTTACAAATCATAGATACAAACTACCTATGGCAAGGATTGTGTGTCAGCTCTCGCAATTCTACAGTGAGCACAAAAGTTGCAGCTTAAGCAAGAATGGAAGGCTGAAGACACTTCCCCTCTGCTGGATGTTCAGGCCTCTGTCGGGAGGCATGGATTGAGTATCAACTGGCCATGAATATGTTTAGCCCGCAAATTAGAAGAAGGTTTCTAACCATCAGAGAAGTCAGGTTCTGGAACAGCCTCCCAGCAGGAGTAGGGGGGGAAACAACCTAACTAGTTTTAAGGTGGAGTTTGATAAATTTATGAAGGAATTTATAGGCTGGGGTGGCCTATGATAGCAGGAGGCTGGACTTGATGAGCCAGGAGTTCCCTTCCAGTCTTATGTTCCGAAGTAAAATATCCCCCGACTGATCCAGTCTATTAATCTTTGAAAATAACTATTCCCCACGATAAGGACTGTTCATCTCATCTATGCCCTGTAAAAAGATTAATGCAGGCACATCCAGTAGTGTAGCTCCCACCTGGGTGGTGAGAATAAAAGCTCAGCCTGACTGCTCTGCTTTCCATCCATACATTTGTAGTATTTATGATCATCAGTTACTTTGTGGGACTTGTTGACACACAGCTGCATTTTCAGCATTTGAAACTGGTAACTAAGTGTGTAACTCCCATTGCTATTCATGGATGGTGGCAGCAGGAGATGGGGAGATACAAACACATGGAACTGAGTCAATGACATTCATAATTAGATGGCGGATAAGTGAGAAATCATAATTAGTGGGTTAGTATTGTTATCTGACACTTGTCTTCACAGTACCAATGTTACAAGACAATTAGGGTGGACTCTTGGCATTTGAAAATGTAATTTACAGAGATTATGCAGGATCAGCACACGTATCAGGGAGTGTTTCAGAAACGTGTGCCAGCAAGAGAGAGAGATTAACCAGTCAATGGGGTTCAGCTGCTTCATTTATTCAGAAGTGATGGCATCAAATTAAAAGTGGAAGGGCAGCTTACTGTGCAAGACAGACCTTCTCCTCAAGGATGTAACTGAGAGGTAGCGTAGGTGTCCTCGCTAGAGTAGAAAGCGTCTGTACAAATGGCAACTCCTGGGACACTTTGCACCTCTTATGCATCAGATCTGAGCTTTTTTCTTGTTTGAGGGATAGCTGCAGTGGCTGAGGAAACAATGACATCTAAATTCTCTGCTCCCTCTGTCCTGAGGAAGCGCCATCACAGAGCACAGGATGATAGAGCCTGGTTTGGTCAAAGAGCCATATTTAGTGCATTACTGATGGACCAAATATAGTCTTCAGTGCAAGGATGGATAGTGGGAGAGTAATTCACCCCAAGGCTTGATCCCACACCCACCTCTTCCCACCCTCACGCTGGCTTCTGGAAGGGCTGTAGGCTTCCAACACTGTATAACAAACAATACCCCAACCCCAAGACCGGTCGGGGAGGGCGTCCGTGGCAGCTCGGATATTCCAGTACATTGTCTTCAAGAGCCTAGGTACAGATTCAAAGGGGAAGAGATGAGCTTTCTCAACAGCAGGCCTGGAGCACTCCCTTTGCTATCTACAGAGCCCCGCTTTACTGTACCGTTCCCCCAGAGAATAGGGGGCAACACCCCACAGCATGTGTTGTGCAAAAGTAACATCCATGACTAAATCTAGAGCAAGCTGGAGAACCACCTGCCACCTCATCACCTACCAAGACGATAGGCACCTTAGACATAGATACCAACGAAACAAGCCTTAATAAAGATTGGTGGTTGGTATGGAGCCACTTGCGCAGCTGAAATGGCCATTCTATAGAAAAAATGAAATTAAATCAATAAATCAGTGTCTCACATGGTCTCTCTCAACAAGTTGGCAATCCCTTCTCTGCGTCCTGGCCTGGTGTGGTTCTATCCTTAGAACACCCTTCATCCCATTCCACGCATCCCAAACATAGTAAACGTAATTCCAAACACACCTAGGTCGGGGGTTCATATTTCAATAGATCAACAGTGTGGAGACAGTATTACCATCCTACTTAGTGTAACACTCCACATCAGCTTTTCACACGTAATAAATACTCCAGGTTTTATAGCTCAGAGGAAACATAGCAAGGTGTCCAGCTAACTGCAGCTTAGATGTTGTTTGTTCTTGGAGGAGAGGAGAGATGGCATATGAACCGAGGAATGCTGGAATCCTGTCCGTTGGTGCCTGAGAGACTGACACCCATAGCTCACTGCAGTGACTGCTTTATGCTGGGCTGCCCCGTTATGTGGCAGTTTATGCACAGAGTAAGATGTAGCTGCCAACACGTAATGTTTTAGTTATGTGACCCTGCAAACCAGGAATTCTTGGGTTTCGGTGACCCAGTTGCATGGTCATTTTCACGGAAGCTGGTGTCTTCCCCTGTGTTTGGAAACCTCCACTTCCCTGGGCCAGCTGGAGAAAAGGGTCCAGACCAGAAGACTCAGCTCACTGGGGGTAAAGGAAGCAGCTGCTGTTAGAACCTGAGAAGTTGATAATTTCTTGTTTATATACAGCCCACCCCATTCCCAAGCACAGATCCCTGCAATATGAGGCCTCTCATAGACTTTAAGATCAGAAGGGACCATCATGATCATCTAGTCTGACCTCCTGCACAACTCAGGCCACAGAATCTCACTCACCCACCCACTCCTGTAACAGATCCCTAATCTCTGGCTGAGTTACTGAAGTCCTAAAACCATGATTTACAGACTTCAAGTGACAGAGAATCCACCATTTATACTAGTTTAAACCTGCCAGTGACCCGTGCCCCATGCTGCAAAGGAAGGTGAATCTATGCCGCAATCTGACCTGGGGGGAAATTCCTTCCTGACCCCAAATATGGCAATCAGTGAGACCCTGACCTGTGGGCGAGACCCACCACACTCTGTACAGTCAATCTGATCGAGCTGCCTGTGTTCCCGACAATTGGCTGCTGCAGCATTGCATGCTGGCACTCCGCTCGAGTGCCACACTGGGGCGTACCCACTCTCTCGAGCTCCGCAGCGGTGTCTGAGAGGTGAACGTGAGAATAGAGGCAGAATAGAAAGAGAAGATCCTGGCCTCTGGGGTTGCTTCAATGGAGCAGGATGCTAGAAATCAGCAGGACGTTTTGATGCACTGGGGGGAGGCTGCTCCATGGTGGGGGAAGAAGGCAGTGGGAGGGTGTAGGTGGAAAAGTCGGTGGGGCACGGAGCATAGTGAGTAGCAGAAACCGAGGCTGCATGTTTTGAAAGGAGAGAGGCCCACATATGTCACAGGTGCCCTGCTGATTCAACACTATAGGAAATCAGGCCCCTTATTTAGGTGCCCAAATACAGATTTAGGAGCCAGCTTTAGAGACACACACACCCGCCCCCATGTTCGGTTGATCTGGTATCTTGGCTGCAACCCCTAGCACTTCTTACATGTTCAAGACGCTACACAAACATTAATTGAATGCCACACTTACCATCTATTGTCAGTAATAATTGCCTTAAATATCAAGATGGGTGAGGTGATACCTCTGATTGGATCAGCTTCTTCAGGAAAAGATTTGACCTCACCCACCTTGTCTTTCGAATACCCTGGGACAAGCACAGCTACAACTATATTGCCAACTTAAATGTCAAGGCATTTCCCTGTATTCCCAGCTGATGTGTTGAAGGCTCTGCTGCAGTATTCCCCACATTAAACCACTACATTAGATTCTTCTGGACTGTCTGCAGCAGGGGTTCTCAAACTTTTGTACTGGTGACCCCTTTCACCCAGCGCACCTCTGAGTGCAAACCCCTCCCCCCATAAAGTAAAAGCACTTTTTCTATATTTAACACCATTATAAATGCTGGAGGCAAAGCGGGGTTTGGGGTGGAGGCTGACAGCTCGCGACCCCCCCATGTAATAACCTTGTGACCCCCTGAGGGGTCCCAACCCCCAGTTTGAGAACCCCTGGTCTGCAGTAACTAGGTTGGTTGCCATCTACTGATAGTGGTTGTGACAAGCTAATTTCCCTAATGGACGTGGCTGGGATCTCTACCTGTCTACCCTTGGGAGTTCCAGACAGTTGAACTCCCCTAACCGTGGCATGTCACTTCAACAGAGAGACAGACATTGTTCACTTGGCTAGCCAAGCCCCAGTTACCGTCTTGACAGTATGTATAACCCGGCCCCTCTGGCACTGGGGATTGTTTCAGTCAGCACGTGTCTTTGCTGCTGAGCACCTGTGATTTTAACCCTCTATTGTGAGGTCTGGCAATGAGCTGCATGTATGTGTCTGTCCGCAGTGCACCAAAGTTGAGCACTGTTTACGCTCCTGATCTGCGTGAAGTCATAGACTGTATATACCAGACACAGAACAGTATGCTTTTAGTTGGGTGCAGTTGTAATTCTTGCAAAAAGAAAGGGCAGCTTTTTAATTAAGTGAATGAGTTTATCTCCAACGCGATGAGACCATGTGTAGGGATCCTAGTGTCACTGCTGATATTCTACACAGTTGATTACCCTGATAGTGTGTCCTTCTTAACAACATTGAGAAGGAAGCAATAGGGAAGGTCTTGGATGGAATCAGGAGGAGTATTGCGTAGTTAGTGAGTGCATGTTATGTTTTCATGTGCAAGAGGTGATAGTTTAGCCACTGAATAACCTTGCTTTTCTCGTCTGTCTAGCTTTCAGAGCCGTATTGATGAGTGTGTCAAGCAGATGTCAGATATACTCTGTCAAGTAAAAGGGACCGGAAATATCCCTGCAAATGCCAGGACCACGGTGGCGCAAGATGCGGATAATGTCCTGAGGCCATTAATGGACTTCCTGGATGGAAAGTAAGAAGAGCTCAGTTCTGTATTCATACTGCCATAAAATCTCTAACAGATTGGGAGGGGTTTCTTCAGCCTTCTGGATGACTCCCTCGAGACATCTTCTCTATCAGAGTCATCCCGGAGGGTTTTTATCTTTGGAAAAGAGGCGGCTTCTGGATGACTCATTAGACTTTCTCGTTTTGAAAGTGTCAGCCAGCAGATATGATGTTTCTGTGAATCCCATGACATTCGCCAGGTATAATTTGTGATTTTGTTGCATGAGAGATGGTTTATTTTGTTGCATTTGTACTTGAGTCATTCCAACTTTTCCTCGGGTTGGATGCTGAAAGGGACTGTGTGCTTCATAGTTAGCATGCGTACACAGAAGCACTTTTACATCCATAAAGCAATTTCCATGCTTTCTTTACCTAACTACTCCTTGGAGGCAGCATCACCTTCTATTGGTGGGAAGCGGAAGTGGGAATGTTCATGACTTCTTTCCTGTCCACAGCAAGTCAGAGGCAGAGCCTGGATTATTCTTCCTGTCTGTCCTACAGAGGAGGCAAGTTCCTCTAAATGCTGCCTGTGTCTGGCTAGCATCACCTCTTCGTTGCCTGGGTTCAGCTCTGGCCAGCTGCTCTTCACCCAGCTGAGGATTTTGGCTAGGCCTTGAGAGACCTGGGAGAGGGTTGTGTTCATGCTGGATATAAAGGAGCGGAGTGTTGTCTATGGATTGCTGGCACTTCAGCCAGTGTGTTGTGTCCTCAGCTCTCCCAACGGCTTCCTATAGATGTAGCCCCGTGGGACTCTGCTGGTGAGTCTGATCTCTCTGCGCCCTTACACTGGCACGGGGATGGTCAGTGAGAGGCGAATAAGGAAACTGATCAGGACTGTTCCAGGCAAAAGGGAGTAAACACAGAGAACTGATGCTGAGTAAGGCAGCTATAACCAAGCACAAAATTGAAGCCAAGAAATACCTGGATGTGTTTCTGGAGAAGGGTGTTGAGGGCTCTCCTGAGAGAAGCAGGAAAGTGGGTTTCAAATCAGCATTCAAAGAACCCAGCTGTTGGGCCACATGGACTTTTCCTGGCCCTACAATCAATATGTTCGCTCTTCTGTGGGAATGGGCTCTGCCAGGTAGGAATACTTGGCCTTCTCACTTGGGCTGTTGCTTAGTCTTCTATCTGTGGTGTCTCACTCAGATACACGTGGCTAGTGTTTGGAAAGAGAGAGACACAGCTGAGCTACAGAAGGACGCCAGTGTGCACCCTCTACAGACGTGTTACAGCTGAACATGTGTTCCTTGAAACTAGCGGTGCCTCTGCCTTTGGACTCTGGGCGTACTTTGTTCCATTAAAACTTTACTTTTCATCTCTGGCACGAGGAGAGGAAAGCAAAGCAAAGTTGTGCACCTGCCTGGTCTCTGATTTCCAGCTGCAGCAGAGGTCTCAGAGGAGATGAGGAATAGAGCTCCAGCTAGGATCTCTCATGTAAAGAGAGCACGTATTTGAAAAATGAGGAAGCTTCGTTCCTGTGACTAGGAGGAGTACAATGGTCTGGAGGGTGTAAATACTCCACAGGGAGTCAAAGTGCTGAGTGGGAATGTGATATTCCTGACCCGTCTTTGGGGCACTGACTTCGGTACCTACCTCAACGCCAATGCAATCATAGAATCATAGAATAGCAGGGTTGGAAGGGACCTCAGGAGGTCATCTAGCCCATTCTTTAACTTGCTGACAAGAATACTGTGGGAGACCATGTCAAAAGCTTTGCTAAAGTCAAGGAATAACACGTCCACTGCTTTCCCCTCATCCACAGAGCCAGTTATCTCGTCATAGAAGGCAATTAGATTAGTCAGGCATGACTTGCCCTTGGTGAATCCATGCTGACTGCTCCTGATCACTTTCCTCTCCTCTAAGTGCTTCAGAATTGATTCCTTGAGGACCTGCTCCATGATTTTTCCAGGGACTGAGGTGAGGCTGACTGACCTGTAGTTCCCTGGATCCTCCTCCTTCCCTTTTTTTAAAGATGGGCACTACATTAGCCTTTTTCCAGTCGTCCAGGACCTCCCCCGATCGCCATGAGTTTTCAAAGATAATGGCCAATGCCTCTGCAATCACATCCGCCAACTCCTTTAGCACTCTCGGATGCAGCGCATCCGGCCCCATGGACTTGTGCTCGTCCAGCTTTTCTAAATAGTCCTGAACCACTTCTTTCTCCACAGAGGGCTGGTCACCTCCTCCCCATGCTGTGCTGCCCAGTGCAGTAGTCTGGGAGCTGACCTTGTTCAACTTATTGGACCGGGGAAGCGGCTGGACATTTGCTTGCTTTTCTGAGGGTCACTCCCCCATTGCTTCTGAACAACTTTGAGTGTCCATCGGCATCAAGCCTGGGGTGGTCATCCCCCTTACGTTTTGTTCTTCAGACACCAGTCTAGAAGGTGGGCAAGACCACCTTCTGATCTGGATTGATACTGGGATCTGTATTGTTCGCTCAGTGGAGACGGGTTCTTGGTTATTAATGCCATGCCCTTATGCTCAGCAGCCTCCATGGAATCAATGGGCGATTCCTCGTTCTATAAATCCAAATCCTCCACCTGTTCCTGGGCCAGATAAACTGACCAGCCAGTGGTATCCCCTCCTCAGCCGCCTACATTGCAAACTCAGATGGAGGCATCTCCCTTAGAGCAGGTACACATGGATCCACGTATACAAGAACCAGTACTGCACCAGGAGGTTCCAATGGCTCCGTTGCTTTCATCCTCCTCATTCAATGACTCTGCAGTGTCGGAATCTTCCTCCCCTGGCCCTGAAGATTTTAAGGAACATCAGGAGCTCTGAAGTTTAAATAGCTTCATGCTTTCATCAAATCATAGAGTATCAGGGTTGGAAGGGACCTCAGGAGGTCATCTAGTCCAACCCCCTGCTCAAAGCAGGACCTAATCCCCAACTAAATCATCCCAGCCAGGGCTTTGTCAAGCCTGACCTTAAAAACCTCTAAGAATGGAGATTCCACCACCTCCCTAAGGAACCCATTCCAGTGCGTCACCACCCTCCTAGTGAAAAAGTTTTTCCTAATATCCAACCTAAACCTCCCCCACTGCAACTTGAGACCATTACTTTGGCTATACAGGCTGAGTTTGTGCAGGAAAACAGGCACAAATTGGTGGACATCCTTCAGTCTTCAACCCAGGGAGAGTAGCTCTCCTTATTAGTGAGGTACTGTTGGAGTCCTCCTAGGTTTGTGGAATACCAGAGCTGCTTTGACACCTATGGCAAAGCATATGGACAAGAGTTATGTTCCTGTGCATGGGGTTCGGGCATTTTTATTCACATCCTGCTCCCAATTCAGTTGTCATGACTGCAGCCAGTGAGAGGTCATGACAAGATAGGTACAAGTCTATACCCAAAGACAAGGAAACAAAGAGGTTAGACTTCATGGGCCGAAAAATATATTGCCTTTGTCCTTGCCAGATGTGTGTTGCAAACCAGCAGGTGCTGCTGTCCAAGTACAGTTTTTTGAACTGGGACTTTGTAGCCAACTTCATGGACAAATGACCTGAATCTTCTAGGGAGGAGATGAAGGCGTTTATCGCAGAAGTTTCATCTGGTCGCTAAGACATTTTTGTAGTTGGCAGCTGCAACAGCAATGTCCAGTGCCAGAGTTATGGTGTCAGCGATTAAGATGAGAAGAGCACCACCGTTGCAGAATTCTGGAACAGTGCAGACATCCAACAGAGCATGGAAGACCTGCCCTTTGACAGATTTTTATTTTCTGGTAAGACAGATGAGAAGTTGCATTTGTTTAAGGACTCATAAGCAACCCTGCACTCTTTGCATCCGATGAAGTGAGCTGTAGCTCACGAAGGCTCGTGCTCAAATAAATGGGTTCGTCTCTCAGGTGCCACAAGCCCTCCTGTTCTGTTTGCAGATACCGACTATCCCGGCGGCGGCTGCTCTGAAACCACAAAAAGGTGTCATTTTGGAGGTCAGCAACAATAGCAATACCACTCAAAGGTATTTTAGACAGGCACCGTACCAACTGAGGCACCGGGACTACTCCAGAAAGGGCAGTGAGTCCCACAAGAGAAGGTCGTCTGGATCTGCTTTCACCCAGCCAGCTCGTCCACCTCCACCTTTGGGAATGCAGCCCATTTGACTATTAAATCAAGAGCACCATGCCACTTGTGGATGTTTCAACACCATCTCTTCAGTCTGTAGGCAGGCCGTCTTGCTTCTGCAGTGCTTGAGAATCCACAGCAATGGACAGATGGGCCCTAAGCATTTTGGGGTTGAGTAATGCTGAACAATTCCTTTCCATTCCCCCCTCCCTTTTCAGGGACCCTTCTCATGAGTCACTGCCTCTTCAGCGGCTCCAAACTCTTCGTGTTCTGGCAGCTGTGGAGGAGATTCCTCGTTATCATCACAGGAAGGGATTTTATTCCCAGTATTTCCTGATCTCCAAGAGAGAAATGAGACTATCCTTGGTCTCAACCAGTTCGTCAAGTATATGAAATTCCACATGGTTACCTTGGCTACTATGCTCTCTGCCTTGATTCATAACTGGTTTGCTGCTCTTCATCTTCGGATGCTTATTTCCACATTGTGATTTTCCCAGGCCATAGAAAGTTCCTGAGATTCCACGTTGCTGGCCAGCATTACCAGTACAGGGTTCTCCCCTTTGGCCTGTTATCAGCTCCATACATCTTTATTAAATGCATGATGGCGGTAGAGGCCTACCTAGGAGGAGGTGAATTCATGTCTTTCCATACTTGGACAATTGGCTATTGAGCTGCAGATCAAGGGAACAAGTCCTTAGTTGTGTCCAATTCATGCTGGACCCTTCTGATTGTCAAGGGTTGATTTTGAACAAAGAAAAATCAATATTGAACCCCAAAAAATCAAGTCCACATATGTCTGGGACTACTGGGCCATATGGCCACACACACTTACATGGTGCAGCGTGTAAGATTGTCTCTTTGCCCTCTTCTGCCATGCTTCAGGTGGGTTTATCGCCCCAGTTGATGCTCATTGGACAGGCTTACCCGAGTAGCCTGAGACTCACTATATTAGTGGACAGAACAATATGTGCCAGAGGGTTCCGTTTGCCCATCCTCCACCAACCAGAACAATAGTCACCGATGTCTCCATAATAGGTTGGGGAGTGTATCTAGGGAAGTGAAAGATTCAAGGTTTGTGGTCAGAGTAGAAAGCTTCCAGTCATATTAACATGCTGGAGCTTCAGGCAATATACAATGTGTATCAGGCCTTTTGAGATCAGAGCTGGGGAGCAGCAGTTCACACATTTGCAGACAATACCATCGCAGTGTATTCGGTGAACAAGCAGGGATGAGCCCACTACAGCTGGCTTTGTCAGGAAGAAACTATGACCACGGTGGCACATTTACCAGGCTCTCAAAACCAGCTGGCTGACCATCTCAGCAGGTTTTTCTCAGCAACCACAAGTGGTTACTGAAGAGCAGCAGAGTGAGGTCCATTTTCACAGAATGGGGCATTCCTTCCATCGACCTCTTTACAATGAAGGGCAACAGAAAATGTCAGTTTTGTTTCCAAGTGAGGCTCAGTCCAGGGTCCCTAACTGATGCTTTCCATCTGAACTGGGGAAGAGACCTGTTGTATGCCTTCCCATTTCCCTCTGATTCCTCGGGTTATCCTCAAACTCACATTGGACCATACTAAGTTGATTCTTATTGCACTGGCCTGACGAAGCAATGTTAATACTCTGGCCTTCTCAGTGTGTTAGCTCAGCCTCCTAAATCTCTCCGTCTCCTGCCTGACCTGATGACCCAGCACCATGCCCAGGTTGTTCTTCCAGCATTTGGCAATCTACACCTCACCGCGTGAATGATACTTGGCTAAATGAGGAGGAAGGAAAATGCTCAGAAGCAGCTCAGATAATAGCGTAATATCTGCCTCATAAGCTGTGGTAATACAGGAAGTTATCTACCTGGGAGATCATCTGTGAGGAGACTGGCTGACCCTTCATCTAAACCCCAAAGGTAGCTCAGACTATGCCCCCACAGACATGGACCCATTAGACAAGACCACAAGCAACACAGATCACATTTCTCAATGATATCTCAATAGTGAACATTTGTAGGGCAGCTTCTTGGTCTTCTGTACACACTTTAGCTAGGTGTTATGCTATTACCAGATGCAAACTTTGGGATGGCTGTTCTGCAGTCTCTATTTAAACAGAGTCTGCAGCCTGGGATTTTGGGTTGAAGAAACTGAGGGGGGTTAGGTGGCATCACCCTCGGACAGTCAGGCGAGGGGCTAAGACCACAAGAGCTGAGTGCCACCCCTACAAGTAGTGCTAAGCACAATTCTCTGGCGTCGGTGTGCTGGGTGCCTGTACCCCTGGATGGAATACGCGTCTGCACCCACATCTCAGAGAACAAGTTACAGTACAGGTAAGTAAGTGCCCGTTTTATACGGAGTGATGCTACGACACGTGTGACCCTCGTACGCTTAACAACCTGTCCCACTCTGTATTTAACTTGAACACGCTGGTTTGCTTCTCCAGACCTGAAGAAGAGCTCTGTGAAGCTTGAAAGCTTGTCCCGTGCACCAGTAGAAGTTGATCCAGTACAAGATATTACCTCACCTACCTTATCTCTCTCATATCCTGGGACCAACATAATTATAACACTGTCTCATCCACTCATTTTATATATACACCTAGCCAATAGATAAATCCTTGTGTTCCTGTGTCCTCATCTCCCTGCGTCTCTAAAAGAGAAGCTCTAGCACAATCCAGAGTGATTGTGGAGTGTTTGCTGCAGGTCACACCAGCAGAGCATAATGGCCCTCTCTTAGTGTAAACTCACCTGCTGGGTCTTTCCCTATTTAGACGGATGAGCCCTTTGGGGCAGGGTGCTTCTCCTATTTTATGTGTAAGCATCCAGCACAGTGGGGCCCTGATCCTGTGTGGGGCCCCTGCAAGCTACCATAATACAAATGAAAACTTTGTATTTCTCTGGATGTTAAATAGCAGTGGCTGAATTCTTGGGCACAAAAATCCTGTTCTGTGCAAATGTCTTAGTGCTAAAGCTGAAGGGAAAAGCAACAGAAAATGTTACTTTAGCAGTGCTGTAGGCAAAGGGAATGCTGCTCTTTCCTATGAGACGTTAGGTAAGAGTTAACATAAATTGTTTGCTAGGTGAGGCATTAAATCTCACCCACACTTCCACTCCATTTCTCCTGCAGACTGCACTGCTGGAACGGCGTTGTTTTAATTAGCTCTTGCTCTCTCCTTGCAGCCTGACGCTCTTTGCCACGGTATGCGAAAAGACGGTGTTGAAGAGGGTGCTGAAAGAGCTGTGGAGGGTGGTGATGAACACCATGGAGAAGCTGATCGTGCTTCCTCCACTCACAGACCACACGGTAAAGCGTAACCTTCTTCCTTACTCAGTGCAAAGCCATTCTCATTCTGCCATATAACCCTGTCTGGGTAGTGTGGTCTGCAGACCAGCCTGTTCTGAAGGGTGAGCTTGGAAAGGAAAGCAGTGGCCATAATCTAAGAAACTAAAGAAATGGTTTTATTGGTTTTGGGATCTTGAGGCAGAGAGAGTGCTCTCCCAGCACAGCACCCGAGATGCTGGAGTCCAAAGGGTGACTGTCAAGTGCACCGAATTGTTGAATAGGAGGAGTCTGCAACCTTTTTCAGAAGGCAGCGCACATCAAATTACCCGGTGGCTGGGGCTGACTACACCGGGTTAGTTCAAACATGGAAACGCTTTCACTTAATGATCATCAGCTCCCTAGGCTGGGGAGTGTTTTTCTCCTGTTACACATGGTGAATTTGGGGTTGCTCATTAATGACACTTTTAGGCATCATCCCTACTGAGAGGGGCAGTGTTTCTGTCTCCGATTGCGGGGAGTTATTTGAAGCATGACCAGGATACACCTGATTTCAAAGGTAGATGTATATAAGTGTTCAGCTGCAGGGACCAATTGGATTAATGTGTGTCATGAACTGCAGTGACCTGTTAATGATGAAAAATTAGCCTGTCCCCTAATCCTGGTGAGCTACAGAAGCAGATTACATTGCAATCCCAGATATCCAGCTGCTTCCTAGGATGGTGTCCAGTCACAGGCAGAGTAAACTCCTGGCCCTGGGTTATAAGCTAATTGTTTGGAAATGGTCCAGAAATATTACTACTTGTCCACATTTAAGCAGGCTCTTGGCCTGGGTTGGTGTAATGAGTGGCTCTTCTTGTTTGTCACTGGTTTCTGGTATGTGTTGAAAGGTGTTCAGGTCATGGTGTCTGAAGAGGTGGTGGAGACTTGCATCTTGATGTAAATTTATTTGTCTTGTGAGAGGGAGGGCCCTTGTCTCACCCTTAAGGATACTGTAAACACCAGAGCTGTATTGCACACAGTGAATCATACCTTCCAAGCAAGAAACTATTGCAAGGGATCTGAGCATCAAACTATGGCCTTCTCTCTATGTTCAGGTTTTAAGTGACCATGTTCGTGTTTCTTTAATCAGTTTCATTTGTGTGCTGGATTTAGAATGGCGAAGATAAATAACTTTAAGGGGGGGGGGGCATGTATGTTTTCTAGGCTACTTTTAAGCTGCTGTGGAAAGAGTCTGTTAGTAGATATGCGGAAGCCTGAATGTAAGAGCAGCCTTATTATGATCCTAAGAATCCCTTCTAACCTGAAGAGATGAAATAACAGCTTTCCTAGGGCACCAGGGGAAGGAGCTACTTTGGGCTTTTATGCCGACCCCTTTTGAAGTTACCATACTGAGGGGGAGGAAAGCACCAGATACCACATTTCCCGCTGAAAGGCAATACATAGCTACTGCTTGCAACCCTGCTGGAAGTCGCCACAGAATAGCCATTCTGTGATACTCCATATGGCTTCATGTTACCTTCTCTGACACATTCAAAATGGAGAGGCTACGAAAAGAAGCCCGAGTCCTCTCCTGCTTCTGCAGGATTTCTCCCATTGGGCAGGAAGTGGCTCTCTGACAAGAGAAGCTAGTCAGCTCATGGGATGTAGGTTATAATGGAATTGTAACTCATCTGTTGCTTTCACGCCTCTAGGACGGCAGGCAGCAGCAAGTGTCTTAATAACACACTCCAGTCACTGGTTCATAAGCCTGTGGATATTGAATTTCCATGGATTTCAAGACCAATGGCAACATGAGCTGCAGTAATTCAGAGAGCAATTCACATAGCTTACCAAGTATAAGTAAAGATCAACATTTAATTACAATACTGTCTCTCTTGGCTGAGTGGATATATGGGGTTAAGTTTCTGGAACTCAGTATTTCTAGGCTTCTGAATACATCTCATTTTATTATATTATCAAAGCTAATGCACATTTCTTTCGCCTTCCCTGCAGTAGAGTGCACCCCAGCCCGACATTGTGTGGCTGCACAGGTCAGTAACCAGATGCTTGATTCACACATGGACAGACAGCTCCTCAGATCTCTCTGCCTTATTTGCCATCATTCTCATTACACAATCAGCAGCTACTGCCCACCCAGCTGATGGCCAGAATTACACACAGTCCTACTGCGTTTCCTTCTGTGCCCCGAGAGAGACCTGTCTCCCCTAAACGAGTGCGTGATCTGGAGTAGACACAAGATTCAGCCTCTCTAGGGCATGTTTACACTCCTCTTCAAACAGAACTACATTAGTGCCAAGTCAGGACCTTTACATTCACACCCACAGCATCCACATGGAGGAGTTACAGCACAGCCCTTCAATCTGAACTGCTATTCACACCGTTCGAGACCAAACTGCAGAGCAGTGTAGACAGATGTGCCCAAAGCTTCAGGATCTGATTTTACCTCTCACTTTCAGAATGGCTGATAGCAGCACCATGTCTGTTATGCAAACAGATCCCCTGAAGTGGATGGCAGTGCTGCTTTAGCAGTCAGCGGGCCGGGGGAGAAACTGTTCTGGCAGGGGGGCTGCTAGCACTCCTTACGGCCTGTGGAGATAAATGCAGCCTCTCTGTTGCATTAGCCAAGGGCAAGGAATTCCAAGTCCGCTCTTGTAGCGAGTGTGTGGGGAGGTGGTTTGCCTTAACTTTGAGCCAGATGAGCTAAATCAGCATCTCTGCATGAGCCCTGCTGGAAAATCAGATTCTGCATAATGTCAGGGTCCTCGGAGAACCACTTCCAAATACGAGACGCCTTTCCTGGCCCAGGTCAAAAACCAGCTTGTGATCGCTTAACGTAGCAAAAACACCTTAGAAGAATAAATAATCTTTGATTTTAATGGGTACTATACAGAAGCTCTGCTTGTCAGATAAAGCCTGTTAACTAGACAAACACAAATACTGCCAATAATCAAATCTAAAGACTGTCTGATCTGAGAGCCTAACACACACCTGAATGGAATAAATCTGCCTCAAGGCAGTACTTCATGCAAGCTAAAGCACTCGCAAATTAGTGTCACATAAAGAAATAAACCTGGGTACTAACAAGTTCTTTACAAACAGAAAGACTGTGGAGTTAGTCTCCGTCTACAGACCTGTGTGTTGTGTCTTTGTGTTTTGTTACGTATGTCAAATCAAGTGTCAGGACACGTTAAACTTTAGTCTCTCAGGTGCCACAAGGACTCCTCGTTCTTTTTGCTGATACAGTCTAACATGGCTACCACTCTGAAACCTGTCTTCAGAGAGTGTAAATCAGCATTGCCCCATTGACTGTCAGCAGCTGAGAGCCCTGCCTGAATGGCTTTTTTTAAAACAATCAAACCATGAACAGAGATTTTAATTATCCCCAGGCTGCAAACTATAGCTGTCTTATGTCTGTGACAGGTGCAGGTATGAAGACCAAGTGAATTTCCTTGGAAAGCACTAGGAAAATTAGAACTGCTTATATCCTGTACCACTCAGAACTATGGGTGTCACCAGACAGATGGCAGTGCTTCTTGTGATGGCCCATTCTCTCTCCCCATTTTCCTCCATGATGCTTTAACCATTTTGTTCTGGGGATCACCAGGAAATACTTTTGTGCTAAGCACCTGATGTCAAAGGGTTAAAATATAGTAATGTCTGTATAACGTGTGGAGGTTCTGCTGCTTCCAGGGACTGCTGCTGAATTCAGATTTCTGCAGTGACAGTTGGGGAGGGTTCATTCCCAAGGTGATGCACATGGTACAAGGTGTCTTGAGAGAGTTTTGTGGTGGGATGTTTTCTTGCATGGATAAACAGCTCCTTTTGAGGAGCCGTAGTATCTTGTTTACAAGAGTGTCATCAGGCAATGACAGGAGCTGTCCATGTTATTTCATTTAGGCAATCCCAACTTTGATGACAAACTCACTGTAATAACAGAATAACTTCTGTTTGCAAACATATGCTGACAGAGATTGGCATTGACTGACAGGGATAGTGCCTAGTGGGAAAGAAAAATTGGAGAGTAGTTATCTGAGCAGCTTTGTTCCATGAATCATTCTGAGTCACTGGGTATTGCTCAGTGTTTCAGACCTGGCCTACTTAGGAGACTGCTGCAGGAATGCTACATGCCTTGGGTGGCTAATGTTGTTATTCAAACTCGTATTGAAAAATTCCGAAGAGGAATGACAGAACTGAACTGTGATATATTAATATTTAAATAGCATTTTGGGGCTGCTCATTTAAAATGTCTTGTAACTTGATTTAGAAAATAGTGTGTGCTCTTCTGCTTAGCTCAGCAGGTGCTGAACCTTAAGAACCTCTTGTAAGTAAAAATGAACGCCAGAAATCACACAGCGTTTACCATTTGGCCATCAATACAGATCAAAACCCTAAGTGCAGTCACACGCATCAGTCAGGTATTGCAGTAGTGCGATTAGTTAACAGCACCTTGTAAAAGCTACTAGGATATACCTTTGTTACTCCTGGGGTAATTCTGCACCACTGCGGGTGCACAGAATTAACGTCCCCCACAGATTTCTTTGCTTCCCCACAGAAAAATGACTTTGACAGGGAAGCAAAGAAAATCTGCAAGAGTGGTTACGCACCACTCTCTAGCTGCGCAGATACATCATTTCAGGCACCCAGAGCAGACAGCAGGGCTGGAGGCAGGGGAGAATGGGATTTCCTCTTCCCCTGCAAGGAGTGGCTGGGGCTGTGTAAGACTCACCCCAAGAAACCTCCCCAAGCTGCAGGAAGCTCAGCATCCTCCCTGCTTCCTGCCCCCATCGTTCTTCAGCTGTGGGGGGAGTGGTCACTGTATGGGGAGCTGCACCCCCATCCACCCAACCCCCGTGCATCTGGACCTCCCATACCCAGACACCCCCGCCAAGCCTCACCCCGTACACCCAGAACCCCTCTAGTCCTCCATATCTGAACCCTATCCCAGTGAACCTCAATCCCTGCATCTGGAACCCCCCTGCCTTGGGACTCCCACCCCTGTACCCAGACCACCCCCAACTGAGCTCACTGCACTCAAACCCTCACCCTGGCAAGTGCCACACCTCTGCACCAGCCTGAGCCCACACATCCAGACCTCCATGCCACTGACCCCCAACTAGCTGCACCCAGGCAGGTTTCAGAGTGGTAGCTGTGTTAGTCTGTATCAGCAAAAACAATGAAGAGACCTTGTGGCATCTTAGAGACTAACACATTTATTTGGGCATAAGTTTTCGTTGGCTATAACCCACTTCATCAGATGCATGGAGTGGACTAAAACAGTAGGGGTGTGTGTGTGTATATACACGTCACACACACACACACACACACACACACACGGGAGTTGCCAAGTGGGGGGTCAGTGCTAACGAGACAATTCAATTAAAGTGGAAATGGGCTATTCTCAACAGTAGCATACCAAGGGAGGAAAAATCACTTTTGTAGTGGTAATGAGGCCAATGTAAACAGGGTGGCCCATTTCAAACAGTAGACAAGAAGGTGTGAGTAACAGCAGGGGGAAAATAGTTTTTGTAGTGACCCATCCACTCCCAGTCTTTATTCATGCTTAATTTGATGGTGTCCAGTTTGCAAATTAATTCCAGTTCTTCAGTTTCTCATTGGAGTCTGTTTTTGAATTTTTTTTGTTGAAGAATTGCCACTTTTAAGTCTGTTGTTGAGTGTCCAGGGAGATTGAAGTGTTCGCCGACTGGGGTTTTTGAATGTTATAATTCTTGACATAAAGACACTCAATTATGTGCCACAGGCAGAGAATGGGAGAGATTGAGATGCACCAATGTCCAAGACCCCACAATGGCAGAGAAACATTGAAGTGCGATGTACCCAGATAATTCCAGCTAGTGACCCGCACCCCCACGTGGCAGAAGAAGGCTAAAAAACCCCACAGATCACTGCCAGTCTGGCCTGAGGGAAAATTCCTTCCTGACCCCATATATGGTGATCAGTCAGACCCTGAGCACGTGAGTAAGAACCAGCCAGCCAAGCATCTGAGAGAGAGAGACTGCTCAGTGCCACCTCAGAGCCCTGACACTCCCCGTCCAATGTCCCATCTCCAGCTGTGGCCATCCCTGATGCTTCAGAGAGAAAACAAAGTACATACCGCCAGAGTACCTGGGGGACAGGGATCCCTTCCTGACCCCTGCAGGAGACCAGCTGGAGTCCTGAAGCATGAGCTTCAGAACATAAGACATAAACCAGAAGGGCCCCCCAGGGCTGCCAAGCCCTGTCCCCTACCATCATAAGAACATAAAAACGGCCATACTGGGTCAGACCAAAGGTCCATCTAGCCCAGTATACTGTTTTCCAAGAGTGGCCACTGCCAGGTGCCCCAGAGGGAATGAACAGAACAGGGAATCATCAAGTGATCCATCCCGTCACCCATTTCCAGCTTCTGGCAGCACAAGCAACCCCGTCACACAATCACACACATAAATTTGTCCAGCTTTCTCTTAAAACTAATTAAGTTGTTTGCCCCACCGACCCCTTTTGGGAGGCTGCTCCAGAGCCTCACTCCTCTGATGGTTAGAAGCATCATCCTAATTTACAGCCTGAATTTGTCCCTGGACAGTTTATCCCCATTTATTCTTGTGCCAACACTGTCTTTCAGCTTCAATAGCTCTTTGCTTTCCTTAGTGTTTACCCCCCTGGGATATATTGATACAGTGCAATCAGATTCCCTCTTGGCCTTCTTTTTGCTCAACTACACCAGCCAAACTCTTCCAGACTTTTAGCACTAGGATTGTTTGTTTTGGTGGCTCTTGCTGTGGAAGTATGTGAGAGAGAGAAGGGCTTACTGAAGTAAGGAAGAGTAGTGGGTAAAGGGGTAGGGAGGGGAGGTGGCAAAGGAAAATAATGTACAGTGTGAGGGGCTCATTAGAGATATTTGGAAACAGATGGGCCTTGTGGAAATTACCGAGTACACCAACAATCCCAAGGGCAGGGCTAGCTTCACTGGAATTCCTTTTGAAGTGGTGTATGGTGTTCATTAGGAAAAGTAACTGAAACAAAATTAAACAGTGGTGCCCTAATTATCATTTACTGGCCCAGAGGGACATGGGTCCAGTTCCCCATTCCAGGGGACAATCCTCCCAGAACATTTCAGCCCTCACTGAGAAGAAAGGGGGAAACTCAACTGGAGAAGTCTGGACATTTACAGCCTCCTCCCCACAGCACCTGCCAGAGTAGCCTGGAAGAGTGTGCAACGGAGAGCTAAGGTGAGCTAAGGGAATTCATGACCAGTGTGAGGGCAGGTTGGATTCCTCAGGCTCTCCGCTGAACAGTCCCTTTGGATCAGAGGTAGGAAAAGAGATGGGGAGAAAACACAGGGGGAGGAAGAAAATCATTTCAAGCACACCCCGTAAAGGATCTTAGGAGTAAGGGATGGCGATCACTGTCTGGTTGCTTGCAGCCTTACTAATTTTGTTTAGTACTCCAGTACCCAGGTGACAGGTGCATTGGAGAAGGGTGGAAAGATGCTATGGCAGAGGGAAAGGAATGGCATCCTCCCCTCTGTCTCTGCCCAAGGATCAGCATTCATTGTGCTGCAGTGTATCTGGCTCCAAGTCACATTTCCCATCTCCAGGGCTCCAGCTTCCTTCCTTGTTGCGTCATTGTTCAGAGGACACAAGTAAACCATGGTGTGGGAATGGGATGTCTAGGTATTGATCTGTTCGTGTTTGTGAATAAGGAATTGTTATAGTATTCCAATATACTGAGCCTGCCTGTCTTCTGCCTGAGATAATACACTAAAAAACAAGCAAATCAAATTGTGGGGCTAACGTGCTTAACCCCACTCTTCAGTTGCACTGTGCTGCATGTCTACACAAAAGTTTTAACTAATAATGTGATCTGCGCTTAGTTTATCATTAACTCCATAAAAGCTTTTCACTCCCAGATCCTAAGGTCTGGTTATAATTTTGTAGGAGAGCTTCAAGTCTAGGGTAATGCAATGTCTTCACAATCTATTTGTGGGTAATCCATCTAGATGTGTAATCGGTTTAAACAGGTGGTTTCTGCAAGTGAGAGCTCGCAGTGTACCACAGTCTGCGGGAGCTCTGTATGTGGCTGTCCACAGGAAGGCTGCTCTTTACCCTAGCTAACAAATGTATTCCTTGGAAATGGAGGAAAATAAACTAGCATGACTGGCACTGGGTTTGTTATATCAAGATCAATGGACCAACTTGATTTGCACCTTTTTCCTTTACTTGCTCAAAAATTGATTTCTAATCTTTCTCTCCTTTCTTCGACTTTAACTTCTCGCAATCATAGGGTACGCAGTTGATTTTCAGTGCTGCTAAGGAACTGGGACACTTGTCAAAGTTGAAGGTATTGATGTTGTGTGTGGCTTACATGTATGTCCTTGTATACAAACATGCAAGTGCAGTAGTGCATAGCATGCGTTTTGTCTCCCCCCTCCGTGACTGGCAATGTGCACCTTAGAATACATGCTACTAACGTGTGCTGCCCGTAGATTTACTGCATGGCTTTTCATTTACTGTAGATTGAATTATTTGCATGTTCAGTATAACAAGTGAACAATGGGGTAATTTATTTTAAAATGAAAAAGAAAGAACACTTTGCGAATCCATCCAATTCCTCTACCTGTACTTGTGCAATAGAAAATGCCGAGTTTTCGCTTTGAGCTCTTTTATAAATAGTAATCAGCACTTGTAATAAATGAATATCAATGGGCATGTACGCTGCATGAGCTATTGACAAAGGAATAGTTTCTGAATTGGACTCATTGATATGAAAATGACTGTCACTTCTAGAGCAGAGCTGAACTGTGCCCAGAAATTCTGACTGCGTAGGCTCCCTTTTGCTGGAAGTTGGCATTTAGCATGTGCTTTGACGGCACCTTAGCTGACACGCATGTCACTAAGTGCACGCTGCCGCATGGTGAGCCAATCAAGCATTACTCCCGGGGTCACAACAAGAACGATATGCAAATAGAGAAATTGAGATGCTTTATACCTGTCAGACCCTTCTGAATATGATTTAACCTTCCTGTGTGCAAGAGAAGCTGCAAATAAGGAATCGCAACGCACACAATTATCAGTTGTGCAGCAGGGAGGATTGGCAGGACGCTGAACTTGGTACAAGATGCTGATTGTAGAGCGCTTTCCAATGCAAAGAGCATTTTTCTGACTGAATTAATGCATTTTTAAATGTTCCATTAACACGGTTTTCCTGCCACTAAAATTCAGTTGCGTTGTGCGTGTACCACATTTGTTACACTCATTGACACAAGATGTTAATGGACTGTGACTGTGTCTGTTTCGTTTCTTCTCCATCCGTGTCTACCCTCCACCTCGGGACCGTTATCTCTTTCCTTGCAGGCACCTCGGTTTTTCAGGAGCCCCTCGGGCTCTTCTGCGGCAGAACTCAAAGCTCAGATTCCTGTGCCAGGGACTGTGCTGTGCTATTTTGCCTGCAGCTGCGAGGCAGCTAAGCTGTCTTCTTCCTTTTGTCCTAGTACCTCTGCTCGCAGATTTCAGAGGTAGCTCAGCAGACGGGCAGCAACTTTGCTTCAGGCAGCCAGCTGGCCAAAGGCTTCAAGAGGATGGGGGATAGTCCTTGTCTTCTCAAGTCACTGGGGTCATATGAGGGCCTTTGCGACTCGTAAAGCTGCTCTGAACATAAATCTGAAATGGTACATACATTCTGCTAACTGCTATTGCCTGAAAATCTGGTGGGCATAAGTTCAGTGAAATGCAATTTTTTTTTGTACAAAGGACTTCATTTTCAGAATTGCACCTGCCTCATTTGCACAGATGCACATTCAGTGTTCCTGTGCAGCCCCTGATTTGCATGCCTGTGTACTTATGTGCGCACAGAAGTCTAGGATGACAGGGGAGGTGTCCACTGAAGTTCAGTTATGTGCATGTTAACTGCACACAAAAGTGTACATACATTCTTCTCGATCTGTCCCAGAGGCACTAGTTCTTCTTCGAGTGATTGCTTATGTGCATTCCAATGGTGCACGCGCGTGCCACTTGCACGATCGTTGGAAGGTTTTTCCCCTAGCAGTACCCATCGGGTCGGCTGTGGAGACCTCTGGAGTGACACCTTTATGGTGGTATATATAGGTCCCTGCCAACCCGCCACCTGCTCTAGTTCCTTCTTACCACCAGTGACGGTCGTTGGAGCAGCTCAGTCTCTTGCATTCGCAAGTGCCTACCTCGTGGTTCCCTTTTCTCTGATGTACATAGTTAGTTTTATACTAGTTTGTAGTTAATTGGACTTACTTTAGGGGGCTTTCCCCCCGCCCTAGTTTCCCCAGGCACCGGGACATGCCTCGGTCGCAGGGGTTTAAGACGTGTGAGAGGTGTGCGAAACCTATGCCCCCAGGCAATCTGCACACTGCCTGTCTCAGTTGTTTAGGAGAGGACAGATAAGTGCCCAATTTGCAGGAGCTGTAGACCCAAGACTGAGAGAGAGCGGGACTGTCGTTGAAGCTCCTCCTGATGGAGTCAGCCCTTTGCCCACAGCCGGCACCAGAAGCTGCATCAGCATCATTTGTGCGTAGCGCCCCGGCCTCGGAGCGGGATGTCCTGGCACCGAGGAGGGACTCCTCCGAGGAGCACTGGTGCTGCTCCCCAACTCATAAGGCCAGTGCCCCTAGGCAGCATTGCTCACAGTCCCTGGTGCCGCATAAGAAAAAGAAGGCGGACAGAGATCATTCCCCCGTCAAGGAGCTGCGAGGGGATTCCAGCGGGGTGTGTCCTCCGGTGCGACACCTATGGTCTGGGCCTCAAGACCTGGCACTGTTGACTCTGGCCCCAACAGGAGGCCCATCGAGTCCGGTGTTGGTGTCCTTCCTGACTCGGGAGGATCTGGAGGAAGAGCTCCACGTCGGACACTTACGAGGTAGCACGGGACCTCATTGCCATGATCGCGCAGTCCCCAGCACCGCATGCCCATGCACCGGCAGTGGCTGCAGCATCTATCCCGGGGCCGCACGTGGCTCCAGCAGCTTTTACGGCACCGATGGCAGCCCCACCTCTGGTTCATCATTGTGGCAAGCCTATGATGCGACCGCACCACTTACCATCTCCCCAGTACCACTCCCTGGCACCATCAGGCTCCGCCCCCCTCGCAGTCGGGCAGACTACTTGTCCGAGTCAGACGCTGAGTCTCCTGTATCTTGATGCAGCCACTACGTCTCCCAATCCCAGCACTGCAGACCAGTGGAGTCATCGGCACTGGCAGTCGCCTGGCCGCCCCAGTGGCAGAACCCAGTACAATGGCCTTTTTGGACCCCTTGGGCCTACCATCATGCTCAGGGCTCCAGGCCAGTGTCGGTGGCATCTGCACCTCGTGCCCCCCACTCCCCAGAAATGTTACTGGCTCACCACACCCCCAGGCTCCTGAGGACCATGCATGAGACAGGAACTCTGGGCTGTCACGCTCAGGCGCAGCACCTGGACCAGTGCCATCAGTGACCATGGAGCCACCTCCAGTCACGGGCGGCTCCGAGGTACCTGACCCGACCTCTCGAGAGCCCAAGGGCAGGAAGACCCTGTCCCATAGGCCACCGCCACCTCCTCGCCAGATGAGGCGGTGGCGGGCACCACCACCACCCTATCAGTGACGGATGCCAGGACCTCCTTAGGAGGGTGGCCCTAAACCTCTGTCTCCAGACAGAGGAGGTCATGGAGAAGTCTGACCCAATGGTGGACATCCTTGCCCCAGAGGTGGCTTTGCCCCTAATAAGAACAATCTAGAACACCACTAAGGTGCTCTGGCAGACTCCGGCCTCTATACCACCCACCGCTAAAGGGGTGGAAAGATGCTATTTTGTGCTGCAGAAAGGGTACAAACACCTTTTCACCCACCCCCAACCGGGGACTCTGGTGGTTGATATGGCAAATCACAAAGAGAGGCAAGGACAGCCAGGTCCCGCATCTAAGTCACGGGATTCTAAGAAGCTGGACCGTTTTGTCCAGAAGGTCTACTCGATGTGGGGGCTCCAGCTTCAAGTGGCTAATCAGCAAGCAGTACTCAGCCCCTATGCTGTCAACTCTTGGAGCTCGTTGGCAAAGTTCCAGGAGTTGCTCCTGGCTGACTCGCACAAGGAGTTTAGCACACTCGTTGAGGAGGGCAGGGTGGTCTCCAGAACCTCCCTCCAGGCCCTGTTAGACGCAGCGGACTTGGTGGCTTGGACCATGGCCACCGCCATGACAGTGAGGCGCAGCGCGTGGGTCCAGGTGTTGGGGATACCACCGAAGGTCCAGAACACAATCCAGGGCCTCCCCTTTGACAGTGCAGGTCTGTTTGCCCAAAATACGGACTCTTGCCTCCACAGCCTTAAGGACTCACAGGCGACTTTGAAGTCTTTGGTGATCCACACCCCTGTACCTCAAAGAGCCTTTCAAGCCTCACTCCCCCTGTCCCTCTTCTACTCTGGGCCTCCTAGACGAGACTCGTCAAGGAGACGGGGCAGAAATAACAGGAGGTACTTGTTACAGTCCTCCTCAGGGCAAGGCAGAAAAGGACCTAGGGGTTACAGTGGACGAGAAGCTGGATATGAGTCAACAGTGTGCCCTTGTTGCAAAGAAGGCTAATGGCATTTTGGGCTGTATAAGTCAGAGCATTGCCAGCAAATCGAGGGACAAGATCATTCCCCTCTATTCGGCATTGGTGAGGCCTCATCTGGAGTACTGTGTCCAGTTTGGGGCCCCACACTACAAGAAGGATGTGGAAAAATTGGAAAGAGTCCAGCGGAGGGCAGCAAAAATGATTAGGGGGCTGGAACACATGGCTTATGAGGAGAAGCTGAGGGAACTGGGATTGTTTAGTCTGCGGAAGAGAAGAATGAGGGGGGATTTGATAGCTGCTTTCAACTACCTGAAAGGGGGTTCCAAAGAGGATGGATCCATCTAGACTGTTCTCAGTAGTAGCAGATGACAGAACGAGGAGTAATGGTCTCAAGTTGTAGTGGGGGAGGTTTAGGTTGGATATTAGGAAAAACTTCTTCACTAGGAGGGTGGTGAAACACTGGAATGCATTACCTAGTGGGGGGTGGTGGAATCTCGTTCCTTTGAAGTTTTTAAGATCAGGCTTGACAAGGCCCTGGCTGGGGTGATTTAGTTGGGGATTGGTCCTGCTTTGAGCAGGGGGTTGGACTAGATGACCTCCTGAGGTCCCTTCCAACCCTTATAGTCTATGATTCTAAGGCCAGGGTTCAGCCAAACCTCCCCCTGGCCCAAAGTCAAACTTCTGAAGATGCGCCCAAGGACGGAGCATCAGTTTTAGTCTTTGATCCTTACCCCCACTTTGTGAATCGACTCTCCCTCTTCTACTGTGCTTGGTCCCAGATCACG